TAGGTATTATAACTTTCTCACGTTTTTAGTTTAAATTTATCATGATTTTAACAGGTCTATATAAGAAACAAAGCATAAGCAATGGGCACAGACATAATAAAATTTGAAGCATTAAAATTTGCTTCCTTTCCCTGGCAAGCGCATGGGCCTGAGTTCAATCCCTAGTTCCGCAAAAAAAAAAAAAAAAAAAAATTGTTTCCTAAAGGAATCCCAATTCAGAGTATATGAAATGAAAGCAAACTCTTACCTCTATCCACTGATCTGAGTGGAAGACTTCCAGATGAAACGGGAAAGAAACTCCTGACTGCTAAATGTTTGATATGAGTTTGTGTTCCTCTAACAGTGAAGAATGAGTTTTTAGAAACAGGGGTTCAGAGCAAGATATATTTATTAGGGAAAGAAAGCATCTGCCTCAGAAACAAAATGAATTCCAAGTGGGTTGCTGAGGACCCAGCCTTTTCTAGGGATTTTTACAGAGCAAAACCACGAGGTCAGTTGGTCTAAGGTGGTGAAAAATAGGAAATCACAAGGTAGGCAGTATGGTGGTCAAGCAATATGATTATAGGCTGGCCAGACAGCTCAGTGGATTACAGCACCTGCTAAGGCAGACGTAGGGACCGGGGCAATCCTGGTGTGCCGCACCGCCCCCACCCCAGGGTGCGCTGAGACAGTGATTGAGACTGGGTGTGGTGGTGTGCACCTGTAATCCCAGTGCTTGGGAGGCTAAAAACGGGAGGATCACTATGAGTCCTACCTGTGTAGTGAGACCCTACAGAACCTGTACTAAATACATTAAAAAAAAAAAAAGATTATGAGCATAACTTCTCAGGTTTTTTGTTTTTTTTTTTTTTAATTTTAGGGAAGGGTCTACAGGGTGTTCAGGGTCTCACTACTAGATCAGGCATCCTCTGGTTACTGTGGGCAGTGGCACACAATAATATAGTGTTTATACAGCGGGACTCCCCTTTGCCCTGCATGGCTGGACATCTGTGACACTGTGTGCAGTTCAGGGGGCACACATGAGGGTCCAACGCATTGGCAGTGAGGGGCGTGGCATTTGTTAAGGAAAGGGAGATGAATCGCTGTCCTGCTCCCTGGAAAGGGAACAGCGCACAGGGAACTGAAAGCAGAGACGCTGAACGGGAGATCAAGGTAGTTCTAGTTGCCTGAGGACCTGATGGATGCAGCCAGTACCCTCAGGCACTTGCAGACAAAAATGGTAATTTTGTGTACAACTGGACCTTTGTGGATGGTTTTTATCACTTCAGTAGTTTATTCCCCATTGTCCTTTTGCCATCCAACCAAAGCATCAAGCAGAGGTGTGAGAACAATTCCAAATTCTCCAGATAGGAGTCCAAAACTCCAGAGCCACAGCATCCTCTTTACGCTGTGTTCACTTAAGGAAATTGACATTACATCCCCATGCCAGTCCTCAGAGCCTTGTGGGCTGCGGTTGATTGGCTATTTCTTTCCACTACTAAATCATGCTTCTCTGAATTCAAGTAACAAGTCCAGGAAACAAGGCCTGAAGCATTTTGGAACTCAGGAGAAAAGTTGGGTCTGCCATGAAAACCCACAAATATGCTGAATCTGCCCTCAGATCTTGATCATGGACACACTGCAGGCTCTGTGGACAGTGGGGATTAGAGGCTGTGGCAACAGCAGAGTTTTTCTCCATGAAAATCTTTCCTTTGTTTTTGTTTATTCTTTGAGACA